GATCTATTGTCCAATTACCAGCTGAAATCCCATTCCAGGGAACCCCAGCGTCTACAAGAGAGAAACTCTGCAGCTTCATCTAAGGGTATTAAAATATACTCAAACCTATAGCAACTGCTTTTATACACACAGAGTTACTAAAATACAATACTCGGGTCAGTAATGGTAATATTCAGGTCACTAAAGAACTCTGTTAGGAAGACAAATAACAGCAATTTCTAGTACTGCCTGAATCCCCCTGACAAACTGATTAGGCAGCTGCCAGCTCGCATAGTATAAATCTGTTCACTGCAAGCCACAAGGTGGAGATCTCTGGCAGAGCGGGATCCAAAGGAAGCCTTTTACCCAGCCTAATGTTACTATTAACACTTTGAGCCATTGCATCAAGCCAATTTTTCTGTTTGTTTTTAAAGTTTGATAGAAATGTCACTAGTGGAAAAATTAAGTAAAGAGCACTGGTTAGCCACAGAACTGGACACACCTGGGTGCAAACCCACCAAAAGAAACTGACTTCATTAGTACTAGGGACAGCAGAGTAAAATTTATACCTGAAATATGCCTGCACCAGTAGAATTTGCTGAGGCCACAGGCTCTCCCGGTGTTTTTACAGCTGTGTCAAGTTTGGGTTTCTGACTCTTGCCGACATTCAGGAGTGCTGAAGGAGCTCAGGCTAACAGGTCCCAAAACTTTGTAGCTGAGATTTAGATCTCAGCAATTTTAACAACCAGGTTTTGAAATAATAAGACAAACTCCATTTGGAGTTGGAGCTGATGTAAATTAGTAGTTAAAATGCCTGACATTCTATCACTTTCGGCTCCAATGAACTTGCATATTAAAGAGCAGATGGCATATTTTAATAAACCATCAATATCAATTCAGGAATGTAGTATCCATTTTCTGCATCAAATGTTGGAATTGTTGCTAGATAGGGAAACGAGGTGAAGAACTGCAGCTTTGTCTGACAAGTTAAACTAATTGCATCCAACTAGCAATTTCATACAGGTGCTCTGTCACTTATACCACAATACAGGAATGTACCCATCAGAGTTAAACACTGACCTTTGATACCCTGCAGGAGAGAAAGAGCAGGGAAAGGAATTTCCTAACCTCCTAGGAGCTATGCAGATGGTAACTTAGTGCCCTAAAAGTATTCAGTAAAGTTTCTTTTCACTTAACTTACTTCTGAGAAAGGCTCAGATTCTGAAATTTGAACACATCAACAGAGGAACATTAATGTAATCTTCTTTTTACCTACCATTCTTATCTTGATACATGTAACTATCTTCATTTGGAGACAGAATAGATACCGACTGCAGGACTAAATTACTTGACAATAAATAGCTGTTACACATCTTCCTCAATCAGCTCACAAACCCTTTGTCATTACGTCAGCTTCATTTTAAAAGAGCCATTAGGGATAAATTCATCAGGATTAATAAGTAGGACCTAACACCTAGCGTAGCTGACCTTTATTTATCACTTAAAACTCCTTGGAATTGCTAAAGCTGAGACGTGAGAAAAAGAGTTCAATCAGGGTACATCTATGTGAAAGGGAAGAAAATAAGTGCAGAAGAGTGAAGCTGCATGGAAGTAGGAGGAACCGCCCATGCAGGGGCACGGGGGAGGTAGGATATCAAGCTCGGATCACTAGCACTGAGGAAGGAAAATAAAGCAATGATAAGGAGCAAAGGAACAGCTAACCTCTTCAAGCGTCAATGCATAAATTACTTTCAACTAACATACAATAAATACTACCAGAAGAGACTAAAAAGTTCATTCATCTTGACAAAATAATGTCTGAAAGATTAGGAATAATTGAAAGATTAAAGAAAAAAAAAAATCACTAAAAGATTATGAAAGCCTTGCGCCTTCACAAACACTACGGGGAAGAGAACAGTCCTAATTTCCAAGTTTACAATCCAGGAGAGTTCCCTATGCTTTCTCACACACCCTTAGTGCCTGCTCTAGTTAGCTGTTACCTCAAGAGTTCACGTTCTCTAACAAGGAGTCTCATTAAAATCAATGGGCCTCTGTGCAGCTAAACTATATTAAATATACACACAGATGTAACTGTTTTTGAGATCAAGCCTTTAAATGTGTACTTACTTCGTTTAAGCATGAGCTATTGCCACATAAAAGCTATGTTAACACTAGGTTACAGTCAAACGTGTATTATAGGAATCATATTATTGCAAACTAAGCATGTTCATTATTACATTGCATGATCATTATTACAAACAAATATTGCGAAATTTAAATTCATGGACAAACTGAAAAGATGCCTAGCCTGCCAAGGCAGAGAATGAATGGCATTCAAACAACTTAAGATCTCCTTACAGTTGCATCATACAGCCACCATACCATTATAATATGCATGTATTAACATTCGAGGTTCCACGCTGGATGAAAACATAAGGACACTGATGGGGTTTTTTACACTTTGGGGAATTTTCGGGGACCAATGGAATAGTTTAGTTGGCAGAAATGGAAACCCTGTGCTTGCCTTTACAAAGAACTGACTGCAAGCACTATCTTTTTTTCCCCCCTTAAAGTTTACTGAAAAAAATCTCGATACAGGTCTAACTTACACCATGCTTCACTTTTGAGTTCTGCATGCTTGCAAGGGCAGCAAACAGTTAGCTTTGCTTCTCTTTGCTGTTTGCTGCTGCTTCAAATCCTGCAAGGAAAACTACAAGACAGCATTTGAAGTTAGTTCATATACAGCAAAATTAGGGTCAAAAGGAACGGAGAAATAATTTTCTGTTCCAAAGCAGCATTCTCTCTGTGCATAGATGGAATCTAAAGATCCCAGAAGAGATTTTGGGGGGCTTCGGGAGGTGGGGTGCTTAGCTGGGGTTTGGTGTTTTTTTTGGTTTTTTTTTTTGTTTTGCTTTTCAAGAAGAGCACCGAGATCTGAGCTGCCTTCAGTTCACACAGAAAGCAGAATCAAGCACTGATATGACACAGAAGGTATTGGAGAAGGACAAAAACGCATAAGCTATTTCATTCAATCTTTTCCTCTGGTACGATCATCTAATTTATCTCGGCTCACTCATGCTGCCTTATGGCATCTGACCAGGAAAGTAGAGATTCTCATATTGGAATTTATGTAAGCCCATTAATGTAGCAAGAAATTCTAAGATGCCTGAATTTAGATTTAATACAAAAGAAGCTTAAGAGGATGACTTGTCTTTAGAAGCAAGCTGTAACATAGTAAAGCTACAAAATTCCCAACAACCTGGAAAAAAAAAAGTCATTGCTGATGAAACAACTGAAGTTACACCAGAATCAACACTTTCTAAAACCACATACAAAATACAGAGAGAAACTTCACAAATAACTAATGTGATCACATACCAAATCCTAACTCCCTGGTTAATGCCCTTGTTTGTCACCAACAGAATACCCCAGCAGCCTCTCCCTTGGTTATTTGGCTGACAGCGAAGACTTGACATATTGCTATTATGACTATATGAAAACTGTCACTTCTCTTACAGTCTAATTTATTTTCATCACAGGCAAACCTCTATTTAATCACTGAACAATTATTTTCTTTTTCCACAACACAGGAGATCTTTCCCAGCCCTATTCTCCCACTAAAAGCATCCTGAACATAGGCATCCTCAACTGCATCAGGTCTCCTATCACCACTGTGATACTGGGGTTATGAAAACCATCTCCTACTTCTGCTGCTTCTGCACTGCTTTCTCTGAAGACTATCACCAACACAAGGCTGGAGAAATGCACTAAGAGACTTCAAGGCCAGAAATGACCATTACAACTAACTAGCATAACCTTCCTCAGAATAGGCCAAAAAGATCCAACCTTGTTTTTCCTTCAAATTTGCAAATGAACTATCCTTGGACCTACTCTCTCCTTACAACAGTTCTTTTGTGATACAGACTAGGTATACTAAGAATCCAAAATGAAAAATAAACTAATGACTAGTTGTAGTCATGTACAGCAATTTAACACAAAAACCTTGGCCCTTAACTTTCCTTTTACTCACCATCCTAGATACAGAGAAAACTCAAAGCTCTGCCGGAATGACTTCTGTTGCCGTTACTCATTTGGCACCAGTCGTGTTTCTCCCTACCTCAGCTGCTTATTCCTATCTACAAATGCCCGTTCTGGTATAGCAGCATCTGTTTCTACAATCACATGACAAACCACACGGAAAATTAATTACTTCCAGACACCTCAATATCTTCATCCAGGCCATAGCACGGTTTCAAAAACAAGGTCAGTGGCTCAATACAACAGGCAGTACAGCTGTGGGAATGAATGGTGAGGAGTAAGGGCAACACATACCAGGTTAAGCTAATAAAGAAATAAACAAGCAGCTACAGGTTGACTCTTAGGGATTCTTCTAAGATACACAAAGTTACAAAAGCATGGAAAGGTGTGACTTATCAAGATTATCAAAACCAAAGACGACTTACCCCCATCACCTTACCACGCTGTTCAACATCCTCCCACATGCAATGAACTATATAGCGACACATGTATTTTCCTGTGCGACCCTCCTGCTTCATTCGTACCAGACACATCCTGAAAGAACACGAAAACCAAATTCAGAGCTTCTAGCTTTTCTTCAAATGTAAAGAGTAAATTAAATATGTTTCAGGTCATTTAAGATTCTCCTTACAGTACTTTTATGATCAGGAAAAAAAACCACACACACAAAGATTTTGTTTCTTTAAAAATAAACAATCACAAACTTTTCTATTCTGTACTCAAGAGCTGTACCTGCTGGATTTTGGCCAATCCAGCTATGGAAGAGTGACAGGTGACTCTATTCTGGCTGACGGTACTGTAATCTTGTTAAACAGTACTGCAACCTAAATTCCTCAGCCTTAAGAACATATCACCCCTTGGAGCAGGAACAAATGTCTTGTCTAATGCTAGGCTACAAGCCAGCTGTAATTCAGCTTGGTATACGAAAGTGCTGTAAGAGCCTGAACTAGCCAAGCTGTGAAAGCTTAAGCAAGTTACAGACTTCACCCAAATTCACATTAGCAACATCCTAAATTATTTCAGCTACAGGGGTCTTTGGATACATGTCCAACCGCTTGGCAAAACCCCTACACGCAGTACATGCCAGAAGAACTCACACAAGTTTGTAAGTGCATTGTGGGATCTTAATGAGAATACCAGGTTGAGTTGTCTTACTTTTTTTTTTTTTTAAAGCATTAAAGCCACTCAAACTTCATTGCTGCTGTTCTGTCTAAAAAAATAAATCATCAGAACAAAAATTTTATTTTGCCTCTTTTACAACGTCTGTAAAGAGCATGAACTGAAACACAGGCTTATCCCTCACTAAGCTAAGAGGCCAGTCCCATGACCAGTCCCACCTTCTCTACCCTGCCGACCAGCTCTGCTCCTGCGTTATGGGTGGGAAGTGCCTGTCCAGGACTGACTGAGTTGCTGTAGACGAGACGATGCTCGAACACCGGAGCTGAAAGAAGTCACTGCTTTGCACAGAGACAAGTCACTGCTTTGCACAGAGACATGCTACAGGTGGGAAACCGCCCACAGGAAATTCTGCTCCCAGCTTATGCTAAAGCAACAGAGCTGAGCTGCTGGAGGCCACTTTGGTGCAGTTGCATACAAACAACAGTGAATGTGCAACAACAGTTAAGAGGTTAAAATGATGATTTTATTATCTGTTCATTTCTTCAGTGGACATAAGATCTGTGCCTCCCTACAGGCATTAAAACTATTTGGTGATCTGTGAATGCCAGCTCAACAGGGAGAATCACAAACACTTGAAGCTTGTCTGTTGCGCTGACCTGTAAAAGGACAGATGTCAATCTTTACAACGGATTCTAGCTTGTCTACTGACTAGCAAAGGGAAGGTATTTTTTAACCTGCAAAGGAAGCAAAACTTATTGCCAGTGATGAGTCACAGAGACAAAGCAAACTGAAGGTAACAAAAACTGCTTTGGTCCTGTATTTTTTTTCTGATTAGAACCATACATTTAAGTCCCACACAAGGACCTTTCAACTGAGACACCAAAACTGAAAGAAGAAAAGCTCATGGACCAGAATCTGATTTCTAGATGGAGGGCTTCCATAAACGACAGTGGCTGTAGGAGAGACAGCTCAGTCTCCAACACAAGGCAGGTCGAATGAGGTCAGAAGACTGGAGAGAGGGACTGAGGCACGAGAAACAGAGCGATGATCAAAGGGTGGAGTGACCAAGAGGATCTGGGTAAAGGGTGGGTAGAGAAGGGGAAAGGCAGCAGTTAGCGAAGGGAACGTTGGGAAGACTGTGGCAGTTTCTGGCTCAGGAAACAGAGCTGTATAAGGATTCTCAAGGTTTATATTGTGGCAGCGACAACTCGGTATCTGTCCAACAGCATCACTGTCTCAGCAAACAAATGCAATTAAGACAGTATCAAGAAATGAATCCTCATCTTGCTCACAGAAAGATGACAAAGCTTTCTGCTAAAGCAATGGTTCAGGACTTAGAGAACAGCTGTCCAGGTACCCGTCCTTCCACAAAACAAATGCAGCAAGAGCTGAAAAATTTATGTCTTGCTTCCACCAGTTTCAAAACCTTTGTTCCTTTATGAAAAAGTTAATTAGTAAGAGTTACTGTATCTCAAATTATTACCCACTCTTAACAAGTCAAAGAGAAAAAGACTCAGTTTAAAAGACTAACTCTGGGCTAAAAAAAGCGTTTTTATATTTCTCTTGCTGAATACACAAGCTCAGGGGGGAAAAAAAAAAAGTAAGAGTGGCTTGGCAAGAAAATCTCCTCTCAAGCATAAATACTGGTTCCTATCCAGTCTGTCTTCAGTGGTGGTGAAGCAGGAGGAGAGAGCAGTGCACAGCCCAACAGCCAACAATTGGTCACTGATGAGCAGGACTGGAGTGGCGTTCAGAGTAAAACCTGCTACTCACGAAGCCTAAAAGGCGGCTCTGTGTTTGGATGCATAGTGCTGTCACAGAGCTGTTCTGCAGCACCACGAGTGAGATCATGGAATTTTGCAGTTTATTTGAAAATTTGGTAGTTTGTTACTACACCTGCCGTCTGAGGTTTAAAAGACACAGACTCTTTAAAGACTATAAACCTTCTAACCAGATCAACAGTGTGAAACATTTTATCGTTTCACTACAGAATCTGTTCTGTAGTTTAGTCAAATACTGACTAATCTTCGTCAAACCACGAAAGCAAAATTATTCCAAACTAACTTTAGAAAGCTGTCTACCTGACATTGGTCAGGTTGGATAATTTATGTTGTATTTAAGTTATGTGGAGAGATTACGTTAGAAGAAAATTGTATGAAAGGATGGCTGAAAAGGAACAGGAGCACCTACAAGTCGACCCACCTTAGATGAGACGTAGCAGTTTGCCACAACAGCCTCAGCTACAACTGCTTCTGTCAGTATTACAGTCGTGCCAACAGCCTGGCTTAAACACCAGAAGCAGCAGTCGGCACCACCCCATCGGCTGTTGTGAGGTGGCTCAGTGCCATGCGACCAAGGCGTGATGGTGCACTGCACCGCTAAGGACAAAGCCCACTCGGAGCTTCCCGCTGTCCCTTACACCTGGCCGCTCGTTCCTGCTTCTTCAGGTCCTCCAGAGGAACTGTTGCTGGGGCTGTTCAGAGAAATTACTCTGGCTTAACACCACAAGTATCAACAGCAATTCTGGAAGGCTTTATTCTGTTTAACCCATTCACAAACGGCCAGCAACTTGGGGGACAGGAGAAGGAAGCTCCTGAATTGACTTTGTCATCAGCTATATGTTGTGACATACACTTCTATGACTAATTCTGAACTCTTCCTAGTTAGGTGTGCACGTTATCCTGTGCCCCCGCCTAGCAAGTTCACCAACTGGATTTACAGCCACATACAGGTCTTTGCTGGGGCACAAGCTAACAGACCCAAGCCTGGCTGTGCAGTCTTCCTCTCCTCTGGTGCCTCTGCTCAGGCCATGTACCCCATTCCCTCATGTTAAGGCACCACCGACTAAATGCCTAAAACGTTCCAGATAAACTTGTTCCTAAAACCGCTCTCAAGCAAGACTCTTCTGATGCAATTTAAACCCCTTTCTCCCCGCCTTCTCTGCCACAAAACACAGACAGTTTATTTCCTTTCTTCTGAAGCAACTCATTTCAAAATGGCACGATATCCTCAGTCTTCTCTACACAAACCTGGGAAATCCTTTCCTGCAGGAACTGTTTCCTGCATACTCGGTGGTTCTTCTCTCTCTCAGCCTGACTCTCTCAGGCTGATCAACAGTGCAGATTTCCTTATAAAAAACAATGCTCAGATGAATTCTTGCAACAGGTCTTTGAGTCTTTCCCAACAGGAATTGTAGCACCACTCCGTTGTGATCCTAAATACTTCAGAGATGTCACTGTATTTGATGCAGTGAAAATATGAAGGGAGCTCTAGGTGATACATCCTGCTCCGAGACATTTCTTAGTACAGTCACCAAAGTCATCTCTTTGGTAGTTTCATAACAGCTCTGGACACCGCTGATACTCCATTTAGACTGCCACCGCGGGGGAAAAGGCAAAGCCAGCAGTGGAGATGAATAGCATGAGATTCTCTAAAAGGTCTGAACTTGTAAACATAAAGCATGCTCCTGACATCAAAGGTGTGAAGTAACAGAAACAGCCTATAAAAATGTGATATTCAGGAAAGAATACTGATAGGTTGTTTTTCTGAAGTGTAATTTTAGCACTGCATTGGAAGGCACTAGAGCGTATCTAAAGGAACATCATCTTGAAAGAAGTTAGTAAAAGCAGAGACTAAACACAAGAGCCTGAATTTTCCCCCTTTCTGACTGGAAGGAAGTAGGAAAACAATTCACAGAGAGAAAGGAATAAGAGCCAGAGATTCAAACAGAGGATCCACCAGAATCTGCAATAGAGGAATATATGCTCTGACAAGCAGCTTAAGTCTAGAAAAGGTGGGATGCAAAAAGCACAGAAACACAGTTGACTACAACACGGTGGGCAATGACAACAGCAAGAGAGTAGGCGGAGTTTACCAAACTAGGAAAAATTCTTATCTTCTTCAGCTCCAGAAAACCCTCTAAATCAGTTGAAACTAAAACTCTGAAGAAGAGGGAAGGAGTAAGTACACCAGAAAGTGGTCTAGATTGCATTGCGAGGGGGAACAGGAATGCTTTAACAGATGGTGATCAGAATCTATATGGTCAGGTTATTGGCCGCCAGATGTGGAAGGTTTCTAGCCTCTGAGGCAAAAGGTCCAGCAGGACAGAGAGGTACCAGAGCCTTCAGACAGGGGTAGGGTGTCCTTGACCTTGCCAGGGCTAGCAGAATCAATAATGTTCTGCTCCCATTTTACTGAGGTCAAACTGATGAAAGAAAGAGAATCATAGAGAACATAGCAATAAACCTGACTGTGAAAGCAAAATTATGTTATGGCAGGATCCTGGTCACTGAGCTAATCACAAGCAAAGCCTGAAGCATTTCCCAATGAGCCAGATAGTGAGCAGGCCTATCACGGGATTCTCTGTATCCCGGAATATCAAAGTGGATCTCTCGTTTGGGGTCCAGAATGACAGCACTCCTTAGGTCAAGCCGCCAGGAACATGGAGGAGCCACACACATAAAACTTGGAAAAAATTAGCCTCTAGTGCTAACCTCCACACTCAAAATTTCTTTGCTGTCATATGAAGTAGAGGGATTTGGTTCCTTCCTACTTGTGTAGCATATTGCTCTCAACCTGCCCACCATATGTTAAACATAAGAGTACTTCAGTTTCCCTCATTAAATGTCTCCTTAACATCCCTGGCTCAAATTGTGGCAACTCTTGGCCTTCTCCAGTGTAGCTTCGATCTTAGAATTTTTGTGTCTATCCCATACTAGTTTCATCTCTATCATAGTCCCCTTGTTTATTTTTATGCTTGTCATGAAAGAAGATTATGGATCTTGAATTCAGTGCTGCGTATCACAACGTACATTCTCCTGTAAATGCAAAATCCAGGTGATGTGAGAAGAAGTGTGTTCCTTGCAGATTCATGTTCACAGAATCACAGAATTTTCAGAGTGTGAAGGGACCTCCAGAGATCATCTCGTCCCACTCCCCTGCTAAAGCAGGATTGCCAGGAGCACATCACTCCGCACTGCATCCAGGCGGGTCTTGGAAATCTCCAGAGAAGGGGACTCCACCCCCTCCCTGGGCAGCCTGTGCCACTGCTCTGTCACCTGAACCGTAAAGAAGTGTTTCTGTGTATTTGAAAAGAACTTCCTGTGTTCCAACTTGTGCCCGTTGCCCCTCGTCCTGTCACTGGGAACCACCGAGAAGAGTCTGGCTCCATCCTCCTTCAACCCACCCTTCAGATACTCATACGCCATAATAAGGTCTCCCCTCAGCCTTCTCTTCTCCAGGCTGAAGAGTCGCAGCTCTCTCAGCCTTTCCTCATACGGGAGATGCTGATGTTACCCCTCTTTGGTTTTGCCCAGATACTTACAAACAATTTGGTTTTGAGTATTTATTGCAGTAGTTTTCCAAATATCAATACGAATGATTAGCATATCAATTAAATCTTTTAAGCCTTTTTTCCCCAGGGAACAGTAAGAAATAAACAAACTGCAAATCTCAAGGGTCTTCCTTACTTGATTCCATTGATTTAATTAACTGATTATAATTTCAATGGTTCTTATTTATTCATTCTTTAGTGAAATGAGCTGCCCCATATTTCAATATATGGAGGAGACAGGAAATTAAATGGAGGGAAGCGGCAATATAGGAGGCAAGGAAATAAGGGGCCTATGCTTAAGTGCAGCTACTTCAGTACAAACTTCCTTTCAGTCTTTGAATAGGTGAACGTAAGTCCATGGATTTCAGTTTCCTGAAAGATCTGGCACTTAACAAAAATCACTGCACTCCCTTGTGCATCCCTCTGACCTTTACAAGTATGTAACACTAGATGAAAACCTGATTTTTTTGGCTACTATTTTCACAAGTGAAAAAAGGAAAAAACTTAATGTTTAAGGTGTTAAATATTTTTACATGTAGCCAAGCTGGCATTCACCAACTTGCATGTACGTTTCAGAGGAGCAAGAATAAATGCCAATGCTATAATTTGTTAAATGCTTCTGACGAGCAGCAACTTCAATCACCACAAATTCTCCCAATTTAAACCACTTCTACATAAATTTAAATTTTTCCTAAAACACCCAAGTAAGATTTTTCCACATAGGCTGAGCCTGGCTTTTAGAAAACTCACAGCAAAGATCATTCCATTACTGAGGAATTTAGAGACGTAAAAGATGTTAGCTTCTATGGGACTTCTTGTTCTTTAGTAGAAAACTGCTAAAATTCAGCAATTAGTAAATTGAATATAACAACCATTATCAATAACTATGGAGCCAACTTTTGCTCACATTAAGGTACATAACACTCTATTTCCTGAAAATAGTTGTATTATTTTACTTTTCACTTACCAGACATGAAGCTGGGCTACAAGAAACCATGAATTCAAAGTGTCAGGCATTTGGCACCCTTGACGGGAAGAGGAAAAACACAAAACCAAAACTAAATATTAATATGAATTTCATCACGTTTTGCGCCTAACAAAAATTCACTACACCAAAATCTAAATGCATTTTAGTAATTTTAATTTCTGGCCCTAAACAGCACATACATATCAGAAGCAAACATCATTTACTGTCACACTTGTGCTTAAACTCTAGAAAACACAGCCATGGGGCACTGTAGATTCCAAAAAATTTCATGTGTTTAGAACTCACTTAGAAAACATTTACAAAGAGGGGAGAAAATTCCAAAATGGAGAATCAGACAAACATGTGGCTTCTAGCTCCAGAAGCCCCAAAGCAGTAGAGAATAAAGGGGAAGTATTAATGGATGTTTTGCTCCGTTCTTACGTTTAACATGTGCTGTTGCCTCCTGCCAGGGGCAGAACACCGTGCTCACTGGGTCTTTGCTCCGACTCCGCTGTTCTGATTTACTACACGGTCGTACGACCCACAGCACTCAGCGTACCTTGCCTGTAGCCGTTCTACATTAGGATTAAAACCACCAACCAACCACAGAAACAATTTCTGTTTCCAGATTTAGCACTACTCCGATAGCCACTGGGTTTCCCAAAGTTGGTTGGTCCACACGCATGTTCACGCTATACATCAGCATGTGCCATTAGGATATGAGGGTGGAGATTTAGGCTATGTGGCAAAGATACCATATTTCTCTTACTCGTGCTTGAAAGGCACGGACCTACTGGTTATGTCCTTTGTTTCCCATCAATCTTAAACCTTCTTCCTAAGAAGTCACCTCTTCATCTACTTCCTGGAGAAGATTTATTTAAGAGTACCTAGTGAGAAGGATCTGGCACAGTCACTTTGGCCTACCCAGCACTGGGTCTTGTCTTCAGGACTGTCCAAACCTAGCTCTAAGAAGGCCAGAGAGTATTCAGAAATGGACTCTCCAGGCCGACATGCCCCAAGGAACTCAACCTTATCTTCTGTGTGTTGAATATATCCCTTCCCGACTCCTATACTTCTTGGCTCTCCAGCATTACCAAGGAGATTCACCTGTATCATGAAGCAATACTTTCCACAGCCTCTTTCTTTTTATATGCCAACTATGGTCAGGTAACCACCAGAAGAACCAAGCAAATCATCACTATTCCTCCCTCAGAGAGATGACTCCATCAGTGCCTAGGAGCTGCCAAGCTTCAGCATCAGTGCCCATACATCACCTATGCCACCACTAAGACAGTATAAAGATACTAACAGTCTATGTTTGGAGGTTAAACACAAGTTTCCTTCACCCTTCTCCCCTTTTGGCTCTCTCATTCCTATTAGAAATAGTTCATGTGCCTAGAAATGACTACTTTGACCTAAAGGCATGCCAAGACATCTCTAAACAGGGCAAGAGTACACAATGTTTGCATTAATCAAACCATTTCATTAAATCTTTCCACAGGCGAGATTCAGGGTAAAACACTTAGTTCAACAGACAGAGGTTTCTGAAGTAGAAGCTACCATGTACCAGCCTCCCACCACAGAAATCACTCTTCAGTGGAAAGCAAAGCTCACACCTCTACTACTGGAAAGATGGAAAATTTTTAAAGACCTATTCAGTGCCCAGGAGGGAAGAATTTTTTCTCTGACTTTCCAAGTGTTGCACTTCTATTTTTATAATTCATTTTTTAACTTCTATATTAGGACTGTCTACATCGTAAATCTAAGAGGGATGGCTCCTTTAAAGCAACACGCTTGCCCTCAGATATCAGCTTTTTACAAAGAATGCAATTCTAAAATTTGGGCGTTTGGAACACCTTGTTCTGGGAAACTAACTGGAGAGAAAGATCCATCCTATAATTAAACAGAAAATTACTCCCTTCAGAATACAGTAAGATACAGAAAAAATGTGTGATGGTAAAGCTACCTATGAAATGACTGTGATTACTATCCGCTGGGGAATAAATCTCTTCTGCCCACAGAAGACATCCTGTTCACAGGTTTGCATATGGTAAGAGACATGAATGCTCAGGATTATGAGGACGTACCTCTTCCTCCAAATCATATTCTGCGCTTAAAATTCATCAGGTAAGGGATGCAAAACTTGAATGTGGACTTTCTTTCATGAGAGATCATCTTTGCCACTACCACAATTTTAGGAAGAACGCAATGGGGTAATATCCCCACATCCTGCAAAAAAACAGGTGCACTACGTCAGTGTTCCCCGGATCATGACAGATAGCAGCAAGTGCCTGAAGGCACCTGATGGGCTACGGGAGACAGAAAAACCCAGAGTCCTGTAGGCAAACTCCAACCCTTTTGAGCTGCTTGGTAGCCCCACTAGGAGCCCCCTGAAAGGCTGTTTTGATAGGGCCAGTTCTTTGCTACTGCAGCTGTGTGACAGTGGAGCAATTAACAGTATTAACAGTTCAAGATGAATTCAAGGTAACCCTACACTCCATGTTCATCAGACAAACTTCAGCTCAGCCCTCAGTACCGCCTGCCTGATCCTAAAAGCTCTTTTCACCTTTCAAGTATAAGGTTAGACACGAAACGCTCCCCACACAGGTGGCTATCTCCTTCATTTTGTTAGAACCACCCAAGCTCTGCAAGCTTTGTGCACAGAAAGCCTGGCACCAGTAATCTTGCTACTCCCTCTACTACTTCTCTGTTCTCCTTTAAAGAAGAAACAGCTGAAGTCCTAAAACTTTCCATACAAGCAGCACAGTACAGACATTTGGGATGTAGGCTCTAAAGCAGAGTTCCTAAAGTTTTGTCTATGGATGATCACAAAACAAAGAGACAACAGAACAGCGAGTATACTAAAATTAACTGCAATATAATACTAGAGAGTCTCAATTAAAACGCCTCCTTTATATACTACAGTGGCCTCGTGACTTGCACATCCATAGTCCACATTTTGGAAACTGCTGTTCTAAAGCATAATACAGAGAAAGGAAGTTCAAAGGCCTCATATTGCGTAACAGAAGGTCTTGGAAATTTCACTAGGCATCAGCAAAAAATGCACTGAGATAGCAAGATAGCCTATAAGATATGAAATGCTACCACTGCCCTAGTCCTCAACACCATACTATCCAGTCTCTACACTCTATGTCACCTCTGTCAGAGAGCTACCTGACAAAATCCACATACCAAGTTCCATAAGGTCACGTTGCAGTTCTCACTCATGCCACAACATAACCACATCCCAAAAGCACATCCAGAAACGCTGAAGAAGCCTCTATGAAGAACTGGTTCTGATCACACAGGGTCGATGAGCCCACCAATAGTTTTACATGTGCATGGACACACAGTTTCCAAGGCCAGCTCAGTAGGTTAAAAACTCTCACAAGCAGCAGAGAAAAAGCTCATAAGCTCTCCAGAGACCGGGGCTGACTTTGAGCAGTTCACTTGGACATCTGAACACCATGCAGCTCCAGCCAGAAGTGCTGGGGGCAGCAAAGCGTGAATACACCATGAGGTCTACACAGAGTCAGCTTTGGCTCAGGCAGACCTGAGCGGGGCCCCACGCAGCCCCAGCACTGCTCTGAGGGCTCCTAAGCAGTGCAATTCATCATGTGGGTGGGCAGCACCCACATCAACATAGCCTCAGGGACACCTCTGCTTGCTGCATCACCGAGGGAAAGA